GGCACGGTGGCTCACTCCTGTAATCCCAGCACTTTGGGAGGCTGAGGTGGGTGGATCACTTGAAGTCAGGAGTTCGAGACCAGCCGGGCCAACATGGTGAAACTCCGTCTCTACTAAATAAAAAAAATTAGCTAGACGTGGTGGCACAGGCCTATAGTCCCAGCTACTTGGGAAGCTGAGGCAGGAGAATCGCTTGAACCCAGGAGGCACAGGTTGCAGTGAACCAAGATCATGCCACTGCTATCCAGCCTGGGCAACAAAGCGAGACTCCATCTCAAAAATAAATAAATAAATAAATAAATAAATAAATAAATAGATGGAGGAAGGAAGGAAGGAAGGAAGGAAGGAAGGAAGGAAGGAAGGAAAGAAGGAAATACACTGAGATAAATATGGAGAATGCCATCCTTAGATGAAATGATCTTCAAATAAATCAATAATGCACCAGCAGAACACCTTGGAATATTCCTGGGGGGATATGTATTTTATCTGTATCCTATCAATACTCTAAATGCACACATAATTCACATCCTTGGATCTTCCATCCAAATCTATAATCCATCAAAACACTGGATAAGATTTACCTTCACCAATGAAATCCTATTGTTGTTGGAAAATTATTTTGGAGTATTAGACATATAAATATCTATGCCTATGACATCTTCCTCTAATATCAGGGAAGGAGGAAATTGGTTATGATGCTTTGTGGATAGGTGTGGTAGCAGAAAATTATGTATCTTTAAAACCAAAAAGACAAATCAAATAAGTAGTAAGAGATCTAGAAAGAAGGGAAAATATTAACCCTTAAGAACAATGGTGGAAATGGAGTAAAACAGTATGAATTTAGCTTTAGAGAACTGAGTAGAATTGCAATGGGACTCTAGAAAATGCACTGGCTACTCTAATACGAGCTATCAATGTGACATCTAAATCATCACTAGCCACTGCAGTTCAGAAAAGGTTAACATTTGGGCCCCTTCTTGTTGAATCTCCATGGCTTTCATTCTAGCCTAAAGCCAAAGAACAAGGCTCACTGGCTCTCTCTGCCAGCCCTCTCACATTCCACACTCTCCCTTCCTGTGCACTCAGTTCAGTAAGCAGCCCACCCGCAGCATCTTCCCTCTTTGATCTTGCCAAGGCCTTTTTCCCACCATCCCTGAAACAATTACCCAAGCCGCTTCCACTCCAGATCATCATAAGACAGCAGCCAGCCAGAAGCCTGGGCTGCCTTGAGCCTTGTGAGAGGATATGCCAGGCATCCATCGAAAATCTCCAGTGAGGTCAAACTGGTAGGGGGTGGGGAGGCTGTCTTTGAATGGGAGAATACCGTGGTTGCTGTAGGACACAGAGCTCTTTTGACTTGGAGTTTAATGAGCCTCCACTTCAATAGGACCTACGTGTCCCGAAAGATAAGGGCAAGAACGGAAAGGCACCATTTACCTCGTTCAGCTGCTGCTGCAATAGGGGCACAGGGTACACCCTGGTTCAAGACCTGGATCAGAGTGACTCACCAAGAAAACAGGTCTGATTTATAATTACAGTGCTATCCCCTCCCCAGCAAGATACCTCCTTCCTGGATGCCAGCAGAGCCAGGTCCATGAAAGAATGCACTGAACTCGGGAGCAAATGGAAGCTGTGATTGCAGGAGAAAGTTCTTTGTAAGCCTGAGGCAACATTTCTATGTAGAGTTTAGAGCACAGTGATTGCAGAGAACTTCAGGCAAGAGAGTTAATGAGATTAGCAAGAAGGAATGAATTTCAGGAAAAGAATCTAAATGAGGTCTTTGTAAAGAGAAAGACATAAATAAATGCAAGGGTCCTCTGACCATTAAAATAGTCATAACTTTTCCCTGACCACCTTAATGCAATGAGAAGTAGTTACCTGAGTGACCTTGTACTTAGAAAGCTGAGAAAAATAGTATCCTAACAAAAGGTCTAATTTGAGAAAGTTTCCCTAATTTTGATTTGCTAAGTAGGCCAGAGAGGTTTTCCTTGGAAGAACTTCTAAGGCTCGAGAAAAAAGGAAAGTTCATGATGCCATTTGTAAGCTATCACTAAATTATCTGTTTATATGGGACACAGGCAGGTTATCTAACATATCCATCTGCCTTCAAACACAGCCTTACTTGAGCCATTTCCAACAGACAGAAGGATAACTCTTCTATTCATGAATAACTTTCTTGGTTTAGAAATGTTCAATGATTTTGTGAAGCAATCACAATGAAGGCTCCTTCTTAGATCTGTTCCAGAACTACCTGCTTACCCCAAATACCTCCCTGATGATGTTCCAAACTTTGAAATTTCAGCCCTGAAAGAGCAAAACCTAATGAAGACTGAGTCACAGCAGAAAAGCAAAACTTTAATTAGCAATTTCCTATATCTGAGGATAAGCAAAAGGGATGTTTTCCTTTGAACAACATAGAGGAGACACGACAAACAGCACCCAGGAGCAAATCCAGCTCTGAGAGACTGGTAAAACAAAAAGGGAAATAAGAACCAGTTGATTTTCTCTGAGATGTGGTCTTCCAAGGCTTTATATGTGCTAGAAGTGAGCTGGCTTGAAAGTCGGGAAGACATCACATGGCCTCTGAGATTCCGCTGGGTAGAGGGTGGTAAGCCTGCTCTCCCAGTCCAAGGTTTCACCTCCTTTAGCAAGAGCAACTCAGAATTTCCTAACAATTAGACTCCATGTGAAAGCACAAATTGGATGAGGACTAAAAACTTAACAATAATTGATGACCTCATTTGAAATAAATGCCATCATTCAATCCCAGCTCAATACTTAGAACTTCTTTATGTTGTAAAGCTACGTACATATTTTGGGGAGGGCCCCTGGAAAACTACTAAAAATCTCTAGGACTAATGCCCAGAAAAGCCTCAGAAGTCTGAAGCCAGAAATATATTTCAGGCAACCTTTTCAGCAAGGGCTGCCCAGTGGGAACTAGAAATGAACATTTTCTCCCAAAACATATATTATTTTCATTATTTTCAAACAACCAGTTACCACTGTGCCCTCAGATGTTGCAAAGAAAAATGGTTGCAGACACTCTGTCCCCATTTATCTCCAACTGGCTGAGCACCCTTCCCGGAGGGGCAGCAGGACTCTCTGTACACCCCAATCTCAAAGCAGTCTGGACAAGTTTCTCATAGTCTTTTGAAAAGAGAAAGGCCCAACGAGTGAAGCAATTTTTTAAAAACTTAAAAGATGCAGAGGTTACTAAATCTGAACAAGCACCCACATTTTCTTTTTGGGAGGTGAACCAAAGGATGATTCAGACAGGGAGAAAGACAGCAGGGTTTAGGGAATGAAGAGTCATGAGATACCAGTTTTATTTCTGGCTCTACCCAACATTGGCCATGTGACCACCAGCAAGCTACTTCTTCTCAGCAGGTCTCTTAGCTTGCCCTTCTCTAAAAGAATTCAGTCTTACCCCATCCTGTAATTTTCTCTGGAATGTCCTCACAAAAATGTGAGGGAAGGGAATATATGGGGTGTAGCAAAAGGATGCGATAAGCTAGACATCAGGTAAATACAAGTCTTCTCATTTTCTGTTAAGCAACTTAGCATAGTTCTGACATAGACAACTGATGAAGCAAGACATTAACCTGGTTTTATACCACCTGAAGTTGGTATTTTACCAAGTCAGGCTAAGGGATATCATGAATTAGATGGCACTACCCACTGGTAAAGTGTGTATTTATAGCCCAACTCCAACAAGCATTTTAATATCCAAAAAAGAAAGCAGAGGAAATTGATAAGTTGGGAAATCTCCAGGAACTAGACCTATTCTTATTGAGGGAAAGGAAGCAAGCAATGAATGAAGGCAGTATCGATACCTCATATACAATAGTCAGAATGCTTTTTTAATGCTATTAAATTTCTTTTGTTTCAAATCTATTTCTCAACTTTGTATGATGAAGGCTACTTTTTCCCTTAAAACAATTTAAATTTCAGAGCAGAATTCTGTGAGATATGAAATTTTCTTTACCAAGTTACACTTTAGCATCAATTTTTGCTGGAACACACCCATCCCCTGAAGGGCAAAACATCTAAGAGTTAGTAGTCCAGTGCAATAACAACTGACATCCAAGATAAATTAATGACAAGCCAGCAGCAAATTTCCCTCTATTTCACATGAGTACAGTTTGGTGTTGCAATCAAATAGCATCTATGTCAAGTCTAATCAGATACATATTAATCATATGCTTAAGAGTTTTGGGGCCCTTGCATTTGTCAAGGGAAAGCTTCATCTCTGCACACAAATAAATGACAAGCATTCCTCCACGTAACTATTTTCTAGAGCTAGCCACTGAGAACCACAGCACAGCTCTTGGACAGTGCATTTTTTCTGACATAAACTGTAAACTGTCCCTGGGTCCCATCCTGTCTCAGACCTCCCAAGATTGCTTCTATTCAAAAACCAATCTGCCAAGTAAGTCCAAGTAAGTAAAGATATGGCCAGCAAGAATCATTTCTGACCTGAGAGGGGACTGACTTCCCACTAAGCCCGGGTAGACAAGGGCTGTTCAGATTTCAAAATCCTTAGAGTACTTTAAGCTACCTCCAATTATTTTCTAGTTTTATAAAGGTTTAAAATACCTGTACGTGCAGAAATTAAAATATACATCTATACATATACATATCTATACATTTATATCTACATATACATTTATATATCTGTCATAGTCTTAAGATAGGGCTAAGTACATAGTAAAAGCTTGGAATATGGGGGCAGTGAGCTTATCATACAAATGAACAAATGGAAATTGTTTCTTGACCCTGGTGATTTCCTATTTTGGAGCAAAAGAAAAGAATTTACCAAGAAGAGAAAAGAAAGCAAAGCAAAGTCCACTCACATCAGCACAGTGGAAACTAGGAGCAGCAGATGGCACCTCCCTACTGGGGATTATGCAGCTGCCAATTCACCACAATGTGGAGCCCAGTGTCCCTGATTTCCCAGCCCTCCTACCCCCAGGCTCATATGCTACCTGAGGAAACCATACCTCTTCTTCCAGCTTTACCACCTTGGCCTGGGCGTTACTCAGGGCCTGATCTCGGATTTCGATGTGTCGTCTTTGGTCCTCATTGGTAGAACGGGCAGTGGCCAGCTCCGCTTCCAGCTTCTCCTTCTCACGCTGGCTTTCTTTATCTGTCAGGACATTAAACGTCAACACTGCCAGCCTGGAGCTGGCTCAAAGCCTTACCTGAGCAAAACTGACACATCATACCCTTTACTAGATAGCCTACTGTCCTAGTGCACAGCTGAAGAACCAGTATACCCAAGATCTGGACTCTATCACTGGCTCTACCACTAACTTGCTGTAGAAATTCAGAAAAGTCACTTAACACCTTAATGGTTGTTGAGCAGAAGCAATGAGAAAATAGGTGCAATGTGTCCCAAAAAGTATTAGGCATTACACAAAGAACACACACACACACACACACACACACACACACACACACCCCTCAGAAGAAAAGGTAGACTCGCCCCCTCAATTTTATTTCTTCCAAATTGTCTTACACTGGCAAAAGAGCAATTGAGCTCAAAACATTTTCCCCATTGTTTCCTCATGACAGTACATTAAATAGAACTAAAAATGATATTTCATAAACTGGGTAACAGTTCAAGCCCACCCTTCATGCACTAACATTACTTTGTAACTGAGATAAAGTCTACTTGACAACATATCCTCTCCACGGAAAACGTAACCCAACATCACCCCCTAACCCAACTCACTTTATCTCAGCATCTGCTTCTCTTGGGAATCCAATGTCTTTTTCTTTTAATTTTTTTTATTATACTTTAAGTTCTAGGGTACATGTGCACAACATGCAGGTTTGTTACATATGTATACATGGGCCATGTTTGTGTGTTGCACTCATTAACTCGTCATTTACATTAGGTATATCACCTAATGCTATCCCTCCCTCCTCCCCCCACCCCACGACAGGCCCCAGTGTGTGATGTTCCCCTTCCTGTGTCCAAGTGTTCTCATTGTTCAATTCCCACCTATGAGTGAGA